GTGGGAGACCTGGTAAGGAACTATGGGTTGTTGCTGTGGGGGTGAAGTTTGTAATGTAGTGGGTGGGGGCATTGGATGTGGCATGGGTGTTTTGATTTAGTGTTTGGTTGCACTGGGGTTGACCTGGTTGGGAGGCTTCTATAGAAAGTTGTGAGGGAGGCTGTATTAGATCTTCTTCCTGGGTCTGGGATCTCCTGTCTGTCTTCTCCATCCCCTCTCTTTCCTCCTTTCGCCTTTGTACCATCTCTGTTTCTTCCTTTCTTCTTGTGTTCTGTCGCGGTCGAGATACACCCTCCTGTACGCCGTCATGTCCCTTAATCGTGCTTTCTCCTGCAGTATCCTGGTCCGAGTCGCTTCTGCCTTGAAGGTCACTCTCACTGGCCGGGTTCTTTTTTTTACAAACCCCCCTATTCTCTGAAAATTTTCCAGCTGGGTCATATCGTCTTCTATTGCTTTCATGATGCTTTCAATTGCTTTTTTTCCCCTTGTTTTCTTGCTTCATATGTTTCCCCTTCGACTTCCTGGAGCCCATACACAAAGACTGACCTCACCCTTTCATTCTCCCACTGCATATCCCTGTGTATCCCCTCATTTAATTTGGTTTCCTCCACTGCAGCTTTCCTTTCATCAGTTTCACTGGCTAATGTACTTGGGCTCAGTGGCCTGTCATTTTCCCTTCTCGGCTTTCCTTGGGCTCTGTTGTTGTCTGTTAGGGCCTCCACATAAAGCTTAGCTCTTTCATTTGCTACAGTCTCCTCTGATAGAGCATCTCCATGCAGTTGTGCCCCTTCTTTCCCTACAGTCCCCTTATTTGTGGCTGAGGTAGCAGTCTCTGTTGTCAATCCCAAAATGTTCTTTAGTTCTTTAGGCTGTTTCAGATTTTTCAATTCCTCTTCTAAACTCTGTATCCTAGCTTCTGCTGCTTTGACATGCACCTCCACTTCCTGCTTTCCATATCTGTCCTCTCTTCCATTCTCATGCTAAGTTCTTCTAGTTTCTTTTCCCATTCATGATCCCTTTTTATGAGCTCTGCTGCCCAATCTTCCTTTGCATTTTCCTCCTCCTGTCCCTTGGTTTTTCTTGTTGCTCTCTGGCAACCCATTTTTGTTTTATCCTGATTGCCTCAGAGTGGGAAACCTATGTAGTTCTGTATGTTAGGTTAGTAGTGTGTGTGTCAGAGTGTGGGGGGGGGGGGGGAAGTAGTGGAGGAACTGTGGCTATTTGGGAGCTGAGTGGGGAGGGGTGGGGAGGGTTTGGGGTGAACGGGGGAGGGGAGGGTGGTGTATGTGTGTGTGTGTGTGTGTGTGTGTGTGTGTGTGTGTGTACTCACCTATTTGTACTCACCTATTTGTGGTTGCAGGGGTCGAGTCCTAGCTCCTGGCCCCGCCTCTTCACCGGCTGCTACTAGACCCTCTCTCTCCCCGCTCCATGAGCTTTATCAAACCTCGTCTTAAAACTGTGTATGGTTCCTGCCTCCACTACGTCATTTTCTAGGCTATTCCACTGCCTTACAACTCTATGACTGAAGAAATACTTCCTACTATCTCTCTGACTCATTTGTGTCTTCAACTTCCAATTGTGGCCTCTTGTTTCTGTGTCCCCTCCCTGGAACATCCTGTCCTTGTCCACCTTGTCTATTCCACGCAGTATTTTATATGTCATTATGTCTCCCCTGACCCTCCTGTCCTCCAGTGTCGTCAGGCCGATTTCCCTTAATCTTTCTTCATAGGACATTCCCCTTAGCTCTGGAACTAACCTTGTTGCAAACCTTTGTACTTTCTCTAGTTTCTTGACGTGCTTTATCAAGTGCGGGTTCCAAACAGGTGCTGCATACTCCAGTATGGGCCTGACATACACGGTGTACAGTGTCTTGAATGATTCCTTACTAAGGTGTCGGAATGCTGTTCTCAGGTTTGCCAGGCGCCCATATGCTGCAGCAGTTATCTGATTGATGTGTGCTTCCGGAGACATGCTCGGTGTTATACTCACCCCAAGATCTTTCTCCTTGAGTGAGGTTTGCAGTCTTTGGCCACCTAGCCTATACTCTGTCTGTGGTCTTCTGTGCCCTTCCCCTATCTTCATGACTTTGCATTTGGCAGGATTAAATTCGAGAAGCCATTTGCTGGACCAGGTGTCCAGTCTGTCCAGGTCTCTTTGAAGTCCTGCCTGGTCCTCATCAGATTTAATTCTCCTCATTAACTTCACATCATCTGCAAACAGGGACACTTCTGAGTCTAACCCTTCCGTCATGTCGTTCACATATACCAAAAATAGCACTGGTTCTAGGACCGACCCCTGTGGGACCCCGCTCGTCACAGGTGCCCACTGTGATACATCATTACGTACCATGACTCGTTGTTGCCTCCCTGTCAGGTATTCTCTGATCCATTGCAGTGCTCTTCCTGTTATATGCGCCTGATGCTCTAGCTTCTGCACTAATCTCTCGTGAGGAACTGTGTCAAAGGCCTTCTTGCAGTCCAAGAAGATGCAATCAACCCACCCCTCTCTCTCTTGTCTTACTTCTGTTATTTTATCGTAAAACTCCAGAAGGTTTGTGACACAGGATTTGCCTTCCGTGAATCCGTGCTGGTTGGCATTTATACTCCTGTTCCGTTCCAGGTGCTCCACCACTCTCCTCCTGATAATCTTCTCCATAATTTTGCATACTATACACGTCAATGACACAGGTCTATAGTTTAGTGCCTCTTTTCTGTCTCCTTTTTTGAAAATGGGAACTACATTTGCCGTCTTCCATACCTCAGGTAGTTGCCCAGTTTCCAGGGATGTGTTGAAGATTGTGGTAAGTGGTATGCACAACATATCTGCTCCCTCTCTAAGGACCCATGGAGAGATGTTGTCCGGTCCCATTGCCTTTGAGGTATCGATGTCCCTTAGCAGTTTCTTCACCTCCTCCTCATCTGTATGTATGTCGTCCAACACTTGTTGGTGTATTCCTTGTTGGTGTCCCCATCTGGTCTGTCCCCCCAGAGTCCTTCCTGTCTCTACTGTAAATACTTCCTTAAATCTCGTGTTGAGCTCCTCACATACCTCTTGATCGTTTCTTGTGAGTTCTCCACCTTCTTTCCTCAGCCTTATCACCTGGTCCTTGACTGTTGTCTTCCTCCTAATGTGGCTATACAGCAGTTTCGGGTCAGATTTGACTTTCGATGCTATGTCGTTCTCATACTGTCGCTGGGCCTCCCTCCTTATCTGCGCATACTCGTTTCTGGCTCTTCTACTAATCTCCTTGTTTTCCTGGGTCCCTATGCCCCTGTACCTTTTCCATTCTTGTTGCACTTAGTTTTTGCCTCCCTACACCTTGGGTAAACCAAGGACTCGTTTTGGTCTTCCTATTATTTCTGTTTCCCTTGGGAACAAAACTTTCCTCTGCCTCCTTGCACTTTGTTGCCCACATATTCCATCATCTCGTTTACTGATTTTCCTACCATTTCTCTGTCCCACTGAACCTCCTGCAGGAAGTTTCCATACCTGTGTAGTCCCCCTTTTATAGTTTGGCCTGTCCCTTAGTTCCTGTTACCTTCCCCACTTGTAACTCTACTATATAGTCAAAACTCAGAAACCACATGATCGTAGCTCCAAGGGGCCTCTCGTAAGTGATGTCCTCGATGTCTGAACTGCTCAGGGTGAACACAAGATCCAGTCTTGCTGGCTCATCCTCCCCTCTCTCTCTGGTTGTGTCCCTGACATGTTTGATGCATGAGGTTTTCAAGTACCACATACCATCATTTTGGGCTCTCCATGTTTCGGGACCCCCATGTGGCTCCAAGTTTCCCATCGATCTCCCTGTGGTTGAAATCGCCCATTCCCAGTAACTTTGCTCTGCTCGAGTGAGCTCTTCTTGCCACCTCACCAGTGTGTCCACCATCACCCTTTTTGTTTTCTTCGAACCCCTCTCTTGGCCTCCTCCCAGTTCTGTGGTGGGTTATACTTTCACTCCAATGACTACTTTTTTGTTCTCCGGACTGAATTGTACCTACAATGTAGTCTCTTTCTCCAATCATGTCCATCCCTTCCATTTCCTCAAATTCCCCATTGGTGTTTTATGAGCAGTGCAACCCCTCCTCCCCCCTACTCCTTCTATCTTTCCTCGGATCTGATATCCTGTTGGGAAGATGTGTCTGTATTGTCTCAGCGAGTTTTGTTTCTGTGACTGCTATGATGTCGGGATTTTTCACTGATTCTTTCATTCCACTCCTCTTTGTTTATTCGTTATTCCACCCGGGCGTTTGTGTACCAAACCTTTAGTTTCTTTTCTATCATTGTGGTCATGCAAGTATTTTGGGGGTTTTGGGGGAGCGAGAGCCTTGGTGGGGGCCTATATGGGGCTGTGGTTGTAGGTGGGGTATGTGTTGGTGGGGGTAGGGACGGGGACAGCTGTTGGGGTGAGGTTTGTGATATGAGGGGTTTTGGGGGCAGAGGGAACAGTGAGTGGGTTGTAGTATAGGTTGCTCAGTTGCTTGGGAATGTCGCGGGTGGGGTCTTTTGGTGGGAGATTCTGTGGGGTGTGTTTGCCCTTCCTCCTGTGTCTGGGTCCTGCTCATTTTCATTGCTTCTCGTTCCTCCTTGCGTCTCTGTACCCTCTCTTTTAGTGTAAGTCCTTTCTTCTTGTTTTTCTGTCGCGGGCGAGGTGTGTGGTGTGTTTTGTGTGTGTGTGTGTGTGTGTGTGTGTGTGTGTGTGTGTGTGTGTGTGTGTGTGTCGTGTGTGTGTGTGTGTGTGTGTGTGTGTGTGTGTGTGTGGGGTGTGTGTGGTGTTGTGTGTGTGTGTTGTGTGTTGTTTGTGTGTGTGTGTGTGTGTGTGTGTGTGTGGTGTTGTGGGGTGTGTGTGTGTGTGTTTTATGTATGTGTTTTTATATATATATATATATTTAATTATATATATATTTTATATTTATATATATATTTATATATATATATATATTTTTATATTATATTTTATTATTTTATATATAATATTTATATAATCTCCTTTCTTGATTAAGGTTGTGGCATCAACAGTGCCCAGGCGAGGATCCTTGGGGGAAGGTTGTCTACCTCTGGGGACTGGCCTTGGCAAGTAGCACTGGTTCACGCTCCATCAAAGTCCGCCTTTTGTGGAGCATCCCTCATCAACAGACATTTTGTGCTTACTGCTGCTCATTGTGCTTATGTGTAAGTTAGTGATCATTGTAACTTCTTCCCCTATTAGTTATCCAGGTGTTGCACGTCTTAAACTGTGTGTATGATGTATCCACTAAAAGCCAAATTTGCAAATTTACTTGATCAGTTCGCCCATTTTTTTAAACTATGGGATTGCTTCTTACCATTTTATTTAAATTTCTCACTTTGTCCAAATTTGAATCACTCAGTCAAAATGTAACCTAGTTCAAGCTAACGTTAGAGTAAGTGCTTCCTTGCCAGTATGTTGTACACTTAAAGTATGGTAATTTTAGTTTCTCTAGAATAAACCACGGTATGGGTAAGGGTTAGAACTCGTGGCAGGGAAGTCGTAAAACTCCAGGCCAGTGTATAAGCCACTGGTTCCGCTTTGCTATCTTTATGGTATAGCGCTTCCTCGTAATTTAGCCCCGTTGTCACCAACCTACCCTGGGATTGCTCTTAACTGTGAATGTTTAAGAGATTGGAAAGGAGCTTTTATGACGGCTGTTAATCAATATATTCGTAGCATTAGTTCAACTAAGTCCTGCAAGAATGTTTTCCTTATCAGAGGCTGAGCTTGTTAGTGTAACGTCACTACTAAAATTTATTTACTCACTAGCTTCCACTGCATTTCTTTTCCTATGACATAAACAGGATGGTAGCTGCTAATTGACCTACACGTTACTATAATACTAATTCTGCGCTTTTAAAGGAAAAATACGTTTTTTGTTGATTCTGTACAAAAGCATACACAGCATGTTAAATATATGGGTGACATTTCCTGTGGCCATCTTTTAATCTAAAAGTTCCTTTTTCATGGATATTTAAACAAAAATAGCAAATAGTTACATTACAGTACCTTATTTACATAGCTAGAGTAGGGTAACTTAAATCTAGAGGTGTAGAAAGATGCCCATTATGCATAAAGGTGTAATGTCGATTTGTTCATGACATAATTTCATAAAGATTTACACACAAAAAAATGCCAATCATAAAAGGCTGCCCCTCTAATAAGTTTAACTTGAAATTTAACGTGTCTGTAGGCTGCCAGTCCACAAACTGTTAGTGTGGCTTGGGAGCTACGATGTATCCCTGGAGACTGAGGTAGGACGTGAGGTGAGGAAGGTCTCTAGAATCATCCTCCATGAACAATTCGACCAGAAGACCTTGGCTAATGATGTAGCACTCCTGAGACTTTCTGAACCTGTCAACATGACCAGGACAATAAGGCCCATCTGCCTTCCTAATATCAGTTAAGTGCTCTACCTGCTTCTGGGCTCCACAGCCTACTAATCCTGTTTCGGGTAAGACAAGTGCAACACTTGGATATATTTATTATGGAGAAGTTTTGAAAACTTCTGGAGGACTTATTATAATAAAAAAGAAGCACTAAACCACAAGGGTTATACAGTGCAGCAGGGCAAGGAAGGATGCAGGGGTAATGGGTAGCAAGAGGGAGAGGGATGATTATTAGGGTATGGAGTGCAGTGGGGCAGTGGATAGTGCAGGGGTAGAGGGTAGCTAGAGATTAAGGTGGAAAGGACTGAGCAGAGTGCTAGAGGCATCATCATACATATCACATTTATTACTATCTACTATCATCAATCATTATTATATTTTGTGTAGTAAATCAGTTTGCTGTCAAAAAAATCAGTGAGAGAATGGATTAAAGGAGGTCCATACAGCTAAGAGGACAGATGTAATAAGGAAAGCTGCACATAGACGATGTTAGAGGTAATTCTGCGTGTCGTGATAGTGAGCAGTTCACAGAATGTGCCTAACTTGATACTGGAACTTGAACAATTCTCAGAGAAGAACAGACGCCTCTCCAGAATACGTGAGTAATGACGATGTGTGTGCGATTGCAAAGATGGGAGAGAGTAGTCTCCCAACCCCGACATTCATATTCATATAGTTTTAATTTAAATTGAGTTTCACATGTAGTTGGGTGTACATGCCAAAAGCCCCTGTATCAGAACATTATGGGCAGGTGCTTAAAATAGACTTAAATTAAGGCAATGAAAGGTTCAGTGGTAAAAATTACCATAAAAAATTTACAGTATGATGTACAATTGAGTATTTGAAACATTGAAATTTGAGCATTTCGATATTGAAGCATTATAGTTGTACAGATTTGTTGCATTACAATGTATAACAAAAAAGATGATCAATTTACTGTATGTTGTCTTGAAGTTTTAAAATTTAAGTAATTGGAAGAATTATTGGTAATGTTAAATATTGAGTGTTGATTATTTAGTCCTGGGCGAGTAAGTGGTTTTTTTAGAAGTCTTAAATTGATTTTCAGGCCTGGTTACTTTAGTATGTTCTAGTAATGAATTCCAGATTTTGGGGCCCTTTATGTGTGTAGTTTTTACAGTGTGTGATATGGCCATGGGGTACATCAAAGATCTGTCTTAAGGTTGGTGAGAAGTTTGAGCAGAGGGTTTGTTTGAGTGTATTGTTCTATGTATGTAGTAGGCATATGAATAAGTGTGGATGTTCTTTATGGTGAGCATTTAACTTGATTAGAGGTGGAGTATGCTGTCACGAGTGGGAATTTATCATTCTGATTGCAAGAAGATGGCCAGAAACCTATACTCGGTTTAATAGAATGAAGTTTGTTATAGAGCAGATCAGACCAATGTTGTGCCAACGGATGCGAAGGTGGGTAGCAATTACAGCAAAATAGTCCATAAATGGAACACTTCTATGTGAAACTGGGAGGTCATGTACTGCTGGCTGCACACCAGTGTCTGCCTGTTCATTGCCCTGTATGTTAAAATGACCCGGGACACAACAAAAAACTTTGTTTGCTAGAGATACAGCGTAACCAAAGTTGGATACGAAGAACTAGGGGGGTGAAGTGTATCAAATTTCTGTATAGCCTATAAAGCACTAAGGGAGTCTGATACTACCACAAATGGTGACACAGGCAATATGGATAAGTGCTGCAAGAATGGCATACAATTCAGCCGTAAAAATGCTAGCCGAGGATAATAAATGCCTTTGCATGAAACTGTTCAGAAACAGTGCTGTGAATCCGGCGCTGTCAGAAGACTTGGAACCATCGGTGTACGCTACGATGGCATGAGAATGAGAGCGGAAGTGGTCAAGAAAAAGAGAGCGGGAAGCTACCGTTGGTAGTTGGGCTTCCGCTCATGGCAGTGGGAAAGAACAGACACAAACAGCTGGAACTTCCTAAGGGGGCAGGGAAAAATGAGGTGCTACATGAACAAAGATGGTAACTGAAGAGAAGACAAGAGGGAATGTAGGCAGAGAGAAAAGGGACGGAGTAGACAGGGGCAAAAAATGAAGAGCGTCTACTAACATCAGTGACTATCCTATATACGGAAGGACTGTGGAGGTCGTGAGATCTAACGTAATAGCGAACACAATGAGCATCACGGCGATTGGACAAGGATGGAATATTCGCTTCTGCATAGAGGCTCTCAACAGGGGATGAACGAAAGGCACCAAGGCACAGATGGAGACCTTGGTGATGAATGGGATCAAACTTAGAGTTGTGGGAGAGACCGCAGAATAGATTTGGTCACCATAATCTAGCTTGGACAAAACTAGGGTGGAATGCAAACTGAGGAGAGTGCGACGATTGGCTCCCCATGAACGATGTGCGAGAACCTTAAGGAGATTTAGCCGACCATGTTAAGTTATCTTTAAAGAAGAAATGCGAGTCTCCACATCAGCTGGCGATCAAAGAGCAGGCCCAGGAACTTGACCATATCACGTGCCGGAATATGTGAACCGTGTAAGTACAAGGGAGCATCTGGAATAAGTGGACGTCTAGTGAAGGTGATGAATTGGGTTTTCGTACTAGAAAATTTAGTCATGAGAAGTGGTCCAAAGGGAGACTTGCTATCACAACTTGAAGGGGGCTGCTACTAGTTGAGTCAGCACCCGAATAAGCTATAGCGAAGTCAGCATAAAGTGACGACCAAATATTCGAAGGAAGAACGGAAGGTAGGTCATTTATAGCTAACAGAAATAGTAGTGCTGAGGATAACCTTGTAGGACTCCCTCGGCTTGTACAAAGTCCGAGGAAAGCAAGGTGCCAATACGTACCCAAAAATGTCTATTGGATAAGAAAGCAGCGATGAAGTTTGGTAGATTACCATGGAGGCCTATAGTGGGTTTGGGCTAAATGTTACACCTCCAAGTGGTGTCATATGCCTTCCTTAGATCCAAAAAGACTGCTAGGACAAGTGGTTGTTAACAAAGGCATTTCGAATATACATATCTAAGTAGAGCAGGGGGTCTAAAGTAGAGCGGCCTTTGCAAAAGCCATATTGGCGAGGGGAAAGGCTATTGTGCGTCTCTAAGAACCACATCAGACATCTATTCACCAATTGTTCCATCACCGTGCAGACCATACTGGTCAGGGCAATGGGACGATAGTGAGGGGTGTCAAGCCCCGAGGTGCCCAGTTTGCAAAACAGTAGTACAGTAGCCAATTTCCAGTGTTGAGGGAGAACCCCTCGTTCCCAAATTAGATTGAAAAGATGTAAAAGAACAGGAAGGGCCATAGAATGGAGATGTATCATTCTGATGTAGATATCTGGTCCCGGTGTCAATGGCCGGCAAATGGAAAGCGTGGACTCTAATTCTAAAAGAGTAAAAGGTGCATTATACAGCTCCAATCCATCGGAGGAGAAATCTAAGGGCAATTGCTCTTTGATAGGTTTAGATGCAAGAAATGAAGGACAGAAGTGAAGCCCTCAGGATACGGTCAAGATAGTTCTGATTTCTGTGGCAACTTCAAAGGGTTCTGTGACGTCAACTCCAGCAACCCACAAGACAGGAGCTGGGTTCGGAGTGTACTTGCCACACAATTTCTACACCTTTTTCCAAATCACGCACATAGGGGAAGACGAGGTAATGGTAGACACGGTCTCGCCAACAAACGCATTTAGCGTCGCGTATGATGCAGCAAGCAACTGCCCTTGCCCACTTAAAATCCAGCAGATGCTCAGTGGTATGGTTATATTGATAATGGCCCCACGGAGCACATTTCAAACGCACTGCATGGGCACATGTAGGAGACCAAGGTATGCAAGTCTGAGAATGCCTACCTGAGGTTTGGGGGATAGAATGCATTGCCACAGTTAAGACTAAGGTCGAAAATTGGTGCACCAGTTTATCAATAGACAACGAAACTGAGTCCTTGCAACAGGTGGTAAGATGGGAGTACAAGTCCCAGTCTGCTCGAGCAAGTTGCCAACGAGGGCTATGAAATGGTTGGGTATATGTAGAAGTAAGAAGGATAGGAAAGTGATCACTATCATGTAAATCTGGAAGAACAGACCACGTGAAATCAAGTGCAATGGGCGAGGAACCGATAGAAAGATCAATGCAGGAGAGACTGAGTGAGTCAAGATGGGTAGGAGCACCTGTATTTTAAAACATGAAGAGGATGAGAAGTGAGAAGTCTCTAACTGATCACCACGAGAGTCAGTGGGACCCTCCCTACAGGTGATGGTGAGCGTTAAAATCGCCCAACATGATGGGCAGCGGTAGAGAAGAAATTAAACACGTTATCATAGATACAGAATGCTCGTGAGGGAGAGATAGAGCAAACTGTAAACCATCTGTGTAAATAAATGAGCTGTAGTATAATGCATCAGGAAATGAACAAAAACTTGATACATTATATCAATGTGCACAAGAAGCTCGCTTTCATTAAATGATTAGTCAGGTAAAGGATTGGAAGAATGTAACAGCGCACAGCCTGAAACTGGGTGAATGACAGCAGAACAAAGTTTGGGCTCTTACAGCCCAGCACATACTGGGGACAACTGGGGGAGCAACACTGGAGTTCTCCTCAATTGCCCCTAAGGCCATGAATATTCCATTGTAAAAATAGACATTATGTACAGAAATAAAATTGGCAACAATAAGAAACGATAAAACCTATGGGCTTGTAGGATCTGTAAAGTCAACGTGTGGGGGTAACTGAAAGCTTGTGAGAAAGGAAGAATTTGAATGTTGCAGAGGAAAAGGCTGTTGCAAGGGTCTTGAAATAGAAGGGATAGAAGGAGGTGCATTGGTGTCCATCAGGGATGTTGTCACAGCAGTATAGCTAGAGGTAGTATCTAAAGTCTCGGTTGTTAAGGAAGCTGACGATGCCATGATGTTAAGAAACAGGAGAGGCATTGCAAGGAAAGGCCGGAGTACCTACAGAGGCAACCAAAGAGGTCTGAGGGGGGGAGGGTAGGGAGTATGAACCTGGAGAGATGCATTGGCTGGGGTAGAAGAGGCCTGCAGAGTATCGGAAGAGGAAGGTGGTTTGAGGGTAACTATGGAGGAAGACAGATGACACAGAAGAGGGGACTACACGAGGGGGGTGAACCTCTACCTTCGTGAGAGAGCTGGAAAGGGGGCGAGAACTAGGCTCTGAGGTAGGAGATACATTCTGCGCAGGTGATGGACATGAAGAAAGTGTAGGGCTGCGAGGTCTAGTAGAATGAGGAGCAACCAAGCGAAACGAAAGAAGTAGGAAGTGGTGCGGAGGTAGGACTGTCGGAGGATAAAACTGCAAAAGAATTAGAAACTGGGGCAACCCCGGAAGACTGATGCAGGGGGATTGGGAGGCAGGAGAACCATCGAGGTTGGAGGTCTTCGGGCTACCCAAGCATACAGGACATGAGGGAGTTTACATTGGAGGTGGAGCTGAGACAGCCATAGTGTAAGCGAGGCCCTCACGCTCCTTAAGATAATGGATCTCTCGTTCATTAGATAAACCTGGCAACGATGTGAAAAGGATGAGGTTCCGTGCAATTGAGACAAGGAGGGGGGAAGACAAAAGACGTATCAGAATGATCTGCACTGCAGACCAGGCATTCTGCCACAGACCTGCCGTGTTTAGCGGGGCGTCCAAAACGCCAGCAATTATGACACTTGGGGAGTGGGAACAACTTGATGGACCTCTAGGCAATGTCCCATAATTTAGACTGAGGGTGGAAGTTCACGACAGTCGAAGGTTAAATGAGCGATGTTACTAGGAAAGCACCTCCGCCCACGAGCAGGCAGGATGTATGTATCTATCTATCTTAAGAATATTGAGGTTCTGAAGGGCTAATTGTTCTGAAATATCCTTGCCACAAGACAAAAAAAAAAAATCACTCTGTACAATGGTACACAGTAAGACCACAATACTACTGCAAGAATTATGAGTAGTATGCTTACAAATGGTGACTGGTATGTTATCTATGGAAGTGATGCAGGAGAGAGTATGAGCTTGTTCTGAATTCTGTACTGTTACAACAGGCGCACCACTTCGAGGAGCATGGAAAGATATATTTTGGCCAACGTGCCATAAGAGTTTTACCAATTCCATGATCAGAAATTTAATGTTTGGGACATCATTTGTAAAAGAAAAGAATGTTGTTCATTGCGTACTCGTTAGTCCGGTATGCAAAGGTAGCGAGTGTCATGTAGGTTGTTTTTGAGCGAACTGTCGTCAGTAAGTTGTCTTGGATGCTTAGGAGCAGTACCACGAAGGGTCTGACCTGAGGGAGGTGGTAGATCCAAAAACCGTCGCACCGTATTTGGGGAAGCCAGACACATTGTGAAAGGTGTCCTAGCAGCAGCGGCAAGAACAGTATCGGGTGACGCTGCAACACCTAAGGCAGGTGATGGAACGTCACTGGCAGAAGGTACAGGGGTATGAGAAGAGTCGAGAGAATGGCGATAAATGACATGCCCATGCACTCTGCCCCAGGGCCAGACTCGTGGAACTCCGTGTTCATCAAGAACTGCAAGAAGCCCCTATCACGAGCTTTTACCATCCTATGGAGAGGGAGCATGGACACGGGGGTCGTCCCACAGTTACTAAAAACAACAGACATAGCCCCACTCCACAAAGGGGGCAGCAAAGCAATAGCAAAGAACTACAGACCGATAGCACTAACATCCCATATCATAAAAATCTTTTGAAAGGGTCCTAAGAAGCAAGATGACCACCCATCTAGAAACCCATAAATTACACAACCCAGGCAACATGGGTTTAGAACAGGTCGCTCCTGTCTGTCTCAACTATTGGATCTCTACAAGGTCCTAGATGAACTAGAAGACAAAGAATGCAGATGTAATATATACAGACTTTGCAAAAGCCTTCAACAAGTGTGACCATGGCGTAATAGCGCACAAAATGTGTGCTAAAGGAATAACAGGAAAAGTCAGTCGATGGATCTATAATTTCCTCACTAACAGAACACAGAGTAGTAGTAGTCAACAGAGTAAAGTCCGAGACAGCTACGGTGAAAAGCTCTGTTCCACAAGGCACAGTATTCGCTCCCATCTTGTTCCTCATCCTCATATCTGACATAGACAAGGATGTCAGCCACAGCACCGTGTCTTCCTTTGCAGATGACACCCGAATCTGCATGACAGTGTCTTCCATTGCAGACACTGCAAGGCTCCAGGCGGACATCAACCAAATCTTTCAGTGGGCTGCAGAAAACAATGTGAAGTTCAACAATGAGAAATTTCAATTACTCAGATATGGTAAACACGAGAAAATTAAATCTTCATCAGAGTACAAAACAAATTCTGGCCACAAAATAGAGCGAAACACCAACATCAAAGACCTGGGAGTGATCATGTCAGAGGATCTCGCCTTCAAGGACCATAACATTGTATCAATCGCATCTGCTAGAAAAATGACAGGATGGATAATGAGAACCTTCAAAACAAGGGATACCAAGCCCATGATGACACTCTTTAGGTCACTTGTTTTATCTAGGCTGGAATATTGCTGCACACTAACAGCACCTTTCAAGGCAGGTGAAATTGCTGACCTAGAAAATGTACAGAGAACCTTCACGGCACGCATAATGGAGGTAAAATACCTAAATTACTGGGAGCGCTTGAGGTTCCTGAACCTGTATTCCCTGGAATGCAGGCGGGAGAGATACACGATTATATACACCTGGAAAATCCTAGTGACTAGTACCGAACTTGCACACGAAAATAACTCGCTACGAAAGCAAGAGACTTGGCAGACGATGCAACATCCCCCCAATGAAAAGCAGGGGTGTCACTAGCACGTTAAGAGACCATGCAATAAGTGTCAGGGGCCCAAGACTGTTCAACTGCCTCCCAGCATACATAAGGGGGATTACCAACAGACCCCTGGCAGTCTTCAAGCTGGCACTGGACAAGCACCTAAAGTCAGTTCCTGATCAGCCGGGCTGTGGCTCGTACGTTGGTTTGCGTGCAGCCAGCAGTAACAGCCTGGTTGATCAGGCTCTGATCCACCAGGAGGCCTGGTCACAGACCGGGCTGTGGGGGCATTGACCCCCAGAACTCTCCCCAGGTAAACTCCAGGTAAATAACAAAGCCGGGTCAGGACAGGATGTTGGATCAAAATGGGGCCTGGGAGGAAGAAGGGTTTCACTGCACAGAGACTCCATAATAATAGGTACATCTTCTGTGATACCTCCTTTCTTGTTATTTAAAAAAAAAAGAAAGAAAAAAAAAGGGACAGCTGAGGGACAGTCACTAGGAAACGTGGAAGGGCTGAAAGCTCTCCCCCCCTCATCCGAGAGTGCCTCGAGCCCACAGGGGGTGATGATGCAGTGTGGAACCCATGCCATACCCTACCCTTCATTCCAGGAAACCAGTGCTCTGGGATAGCAGCCTCGCATCTACCAAGCTACCTTGGCAGACAAAAGAAAGGGCAGTCGGAACCCCGCCACAAAGTATACCCCTTCGGCCGCCACCTCCCAGAACCGACGGGCAGCTTCCAGAGATACACCCATTACCCGAAGGGCACCCCCTGTCTTCCCAGAAATCCGGGAAGGGAGCAGGGCACCTTCAGATAATTCAGATACCACGGCAAACCACACCACCCTGAGGGACCTCGCTGAATGGGACAAACCCCAGCACTCCACCCCCTACCTAGAAACTAATGCCAGAGGGGAGGACCCCAGAGGCTACAAATGGGACGGGAAACAAGGTGGGGGGAGGGGAGGAAAGGGGGGGGGAAATGGGGAGGGTGGGGTAGGGAAGGGAAGGGAGGATTGGGGGGTAATTAGGTTCAGTCGGAGGAAGACCAAGAGGTTCAGTTCCTCAGACCAATAGCCTCTTTACCGCTGCAAGGAACCTCCCTTAAAGAGGGGAAGACTTGTTGTTGTAGGAGTTCGAGACTAGTCCCTCAGCCTAGAAATATGATGGTCAGTCTTGATGAATCTGGATTCTTAAGGATGGTTAACAGAATAGTGTGGTATATCCCCCCACATCAGTTTGGATACAGAAGGTGTCATTCGGGATGGGGAATAAGGGGGAGAAGGGCATGGGTGACGGAGTGAGGGGGAATGGGCTAACTTTGAAATACAGATTGAAGATATTGGTTCCTTAGGTTGTGGTAGTGGTTTGCCACCTGTGGGATCTGGGTATCCACTTCTATTCTTCAGTCATTTGTTCTTAAATCTTGTTTTCATATAGTAGTCTGTGCAGTCAGAAAACATCTTGGTAAGCAGAGTACGGTACCTTGGCCCTTATCCATGCATTTGTTTCCTCTAGAATTGATTTGATATTGTTTGCAGGTGTGCCTATGCACCTGATTAAAAAAAATGACCTGGCCTCTATCATAAATTTGAGCCCCCATCTGTTCTACATTTAGAAAAGGTGGGGCTAGAACTCCTGAACCTGGAAGTGCTAAACCTGCAGGGGTCACATAGTGCCTAGGATTCTTTTGGGGAGGTGGGGAAAGTGAATTGGAGAGATTTCCATGGTGTAAGTTAGTGCACTGTTGTCTTGCTTGCCTAACAGTGAATATTTAATTTACTGGAAGGTCAGTTTGTTTTTATGATTAATGCAGAGGAATGCTGACCTATGGCAAAAGAAATTTAGAAGGCTTTGGATGAATTTTCCCTAGCATATTAAAACCATAGAGGATATTTGAGTTGCATAATCTCTTGCTTGAAATTTCAGGTTCCTTCTGCATGTTTAGCATTTTGGAAGGACATGGACATTCTAGAATTTTAATGATTTTTTTTTTATGGTCTTAGGAGCTATCTGTTATGGACATGACTCAAAATTTATTTGAATCGGGCAAATTTCTCCCAAACTTTTATAAAGCAAGTCATGTATACTCTTATTTTTTCCACTTTAAACAAGATTTTAAATACGTAAATAATGCATATTTTAACGTAATGTAACTTTCTCTTCCAGAGGATTGGGATGTTTCTATAGTTAATGGCAGTGCTGATTTTGATGGACTAGTAACAGGCTGGGGACTAACAAAGGAAGATGGGCAGCCATCAAAGGTTCTTCTCCAGGTAGTATGGTATATCATATTTTGTAGGGTAAAACTATAAATATTACTAAAGTTATCTCCCCTCAATGAAGGTTCCTTGGTGCTGGTGAGGGGCTCTTTATCTAGGAAATTGGATTGGATCTGTGCTTCAGTTCCCTGAACTGAATCTGAATACCTTCCATCCCCCTCCCCACAGACCCTGTATAATCCTACAGGTTTAGCACTCCTCCATGATTCTAATTATAATAATACTAAAGTTATCTAGGAAGATTACATTTGCCTGTTGGAGGTACAGTAATTGAGCACATCCATACTGTACATCTTGTGCAAGAAGAACCTTAACACATGATAGTGATAATGTTCTAGCTCGATCGCTAGGGCACTCGGCTTGCACACTGAGGTCCAATGTTCGAATCTCCGGTATGGCTGAAAAACATAGGGACTAGTTTCCATAAGACACCTGCTGTCCCTATTCACCCATCAGTCGATTGTTCACCCATTAGTCGACTGATGTGGGTTGCATCCTGGGACAAAACTGACCTAATTTACCCGAAATGCTCAGCATAACAAGTGGCTTTCTTTATAGTAGTATGTCATTGATGTCAGCTAGGCCTATATACCTTGTACATGTATGTACTTGTAGAAATAAATACAGTGGAACTCTGGTTTTCGTACGGTCCGAATATCGTACAATTTGGATTTAGAAAACTTGGGCAAAATTTTGGTCCAGATTTTGTACCTCCATCTGGAAATTGTACGTATCGGACGCATCCGCCAGCCTGGGATGCCGCCACTCTCATGTGCATGTCTGTCTGCCTCTGTCACTGGTTGAGCGAGCATTCATTCGAAACCTTTTGCAATCTTTGTGCTTGTTTATTGATTGCGACTGCGAAATAAGCCACCATGGGCCCAAAGAAAGTTCCTTGTGCTAGCCCTTTGGTAAAGGCGAGAAACACGATAAAATTGCTTCAGAAGAGCAGGAAGAGAGAGAGGGGAGAAGGTGCCTTCTTCAGTGATTAAGGTATGTAATGTTCATTTATCATTAAAATTAGTCATTTATATTTATATTTTTCTGTATGTAAAAGTATAGTTACCCTTTAAAAAGTTTATTTTTTGTTAATATTTTTGGGTGTCTGGGAAGGATTAATTGTATTTACATTATTTCTTGTGGGATTTATTACTTCGGTTTTCATACGTTTCGGATTTAGATCAATCTTCTGGAATGGATTAAGTACGAAGTCCGGGGTTCCACTGTACTATATACTGTACTACACTATATATTATATACTATACTATATACTGTACTATACTATGTGTGTGTCAGCGTGCCTCGTTGTGCTCCGGGTTTTCTCGTGTTTTCATGGTAGCTCTTACGTGCTAGAACTTTAATTTGTCATCAATCCTATACGATACATCCCTCTAGCACCTGGAACCAATCTTGGGCGGAAAACATTATATACTGAGTCAAAAAAGGAGAATTAGTGTGCACTACCTAGCAGAGTTTACTACCAGAGGGGAATCATAGGCCTGGGTGCCGTGTGAAAAAATAATAATAATTGAACTTTTCTTGTCAGAGGAAAGAAAGTCTCCCTGATAGCATTGTGTATACATAGTGTTAGTGTATACTACAGTGGCTCCCTAGTATATAGATGATAAAGGCTAAAGTATCATTTGAAAACAGGTGAATTTGTAAATGAAGTGATAAGCCTATAGAGGCAGGTGCCAGAAGTCGCCAGAATCTTACCACAGTGGTCAGCTGTTTTAATAATCTTCCTGGCCTGCTAGTGTACTCGCATATAATCTAGTGATACCAGTGAATAGCAGAATACAGTGTTGTAGTAGCAACTAACCAGTATTATAATGGTACTTAGTGGAGTGACTTTCATTAGTTTCTTTTTCTTGAAATACCAGACGTTACTGTGAATTTCATATAACCTGTAGTTACCAGCGGTCGCAATACGTATACACAACGAGAAGCAATTATTACTACAGAAAAAGCGTCCCTCCTCCAAAATTTCCACCAGTCAACTATAGTGATAATATAGCATTTATTGTGGTGGAGGCCAAAAAGAAAAACTAGAAAAGCTAGATACAGCGATTCATAAACAAGGGTTGAGGCTCTACCGTTCATCACTTGCAGATATCCAAGAACTAGCTACAAGCAGTATTAAAACAGGGAAGTGTTTTTGGGTATGCCCAAATGAGATAAATCTGTGGACTAAAATCACAAGGGTATTGAAAGAGGATAACATCAAAGCTGCTTTCATAGACAACCTGGAAGCATTCTACAACAGATGGGAACATAAAAAGTCTGGGCTGAATGGTACTGCCCTTGATACTGGCCATGTAGTCAGAAACTGTAAGGCTGGAGGTGATGTCCTGGTAGTCAGTAAATGTGGGGCTGATAGTGTTGTCCTGGGAGACAGTAATGGTGAAGCTGAAGGTGCTGTCCTGGGAGACAGTAATGGTGAAGCTGGAGGTGCTGTCCTGGGAGACAGTAATGGTGAAGCTGGAGGTGCTGTCCTGGGAGACAGTAATGGTGAAGCTGGAGATTTTGTCCAGGTAGTCTGGAATTATACGCAGGAAGGAATGCATATAAATGACCTCATAGGGGACAGGAGCTGTAGTGGGGAAACAAGTGTAGTCAAAGATAAGATAAAACCAATATTGCAAACAAGAAATACAACAGGAAATAGCAAACAAGAGGACTCCACTAGCAATAGTGAGGATATATTACCAAAAACAACTGGTGGGAGCTCCATTGTTGGTGCTAGGGAAGATAGGAATAAGACAGGTAAAAATGCACCAACAGGGAATACAGTCACAGAAACCCAAGGCAAACGGAAACCAAGCCTGTGCACATACTATGCACTTGGTATCTGCAGACATGGGAAATCTGGAAAAACAGATGGGACGTGCAACTATGACCACCCTAGAAAATGCCGTGCCCATATGACAACAGGAAAATGCAAACTCCCTTCCTGTAAGCTTTTTCACCCTGAAATGTGTACCTCTTCAGTACAGGAAAGACTGTGCTATAACTTAAATTGCCAGGCACACCATCTAAAGGGGACAAAAAGATACAAAACATCCAGGCCATGGGAAAACCTGGGTAGCCACAGCCACTCAAGAGGGAGAGGTTTTTTAGTGCCAGGAAGGAAAAAAAAACTGGCAGGAAATGGCAGAAATTGTACACCAAATCCAGTCATTCCTGGAGTGGAACCACAGTCGATGGCCTCCACTCCAAACCAACAGATACAGATACTAATGCCGGAAAAAAAATCCCCTCCCCCAGTACCAACAATACCACCAGTCCGATGACATTCTTCTTTGCAAATATACAGGGTCTAAAGCCAGCAACAAACAACAAAATACCTTTCATCCGTGGACTGCTTGCAGAGGCAAAGGCAATGTTCGCGGCTTTCACCGAGACCCACATAAAGGATCACTTAGACAACGAAATATGGATCCCAGGTTACAACCTATACAGATGTGACAGAGTGAACAGGCAAAAGGGGGGGGGGGGTTTGGCCTGTACATTGCAGAGTCACTTGTTTGCACAGAACTGCTTAATGCCTCAAATGATGTAGTGGAAGTTTTAGCAGTAAAGGTCGAGAACCAAAACCTAGTCATTGTGGTAGTCTACAAGCCTCTGGATGCAACATCCCAGCAATTCCAGGAACAGCTGTTAAAAATTGACCACTGGAAAATCTTCAAGCTCCTGCACCCAACATCTTGCTCCTGGGGGATTTCAACTTAAGGCACCTAAAATGGAGGAATATAGCAAATAATATTGTTGCAGTAATAACACCAGGAGGCAGTTCTGATGAAAACTCACACTCACACGAGCTTTTAAATCTCTGCACAAAATTCAATTTAAACCAGCAAATAATAGAGCCTACTAGAATGGAGAATACACTAGACCTCATCTTCACTAACAATGATGATCTGATAAGAAATGTCACCATATCAAAAACAATATACTCAGATCACAACATAATTGAGGTTCAGACATGTATGCGCAGAACCCCAGACCGACAAAATGAGATTAGTCATGAGGGAGCATTCACCAAATTCAACTTCAATAACAAAAACATAAAGTGGGACCAAGTAAACCAAGTCCTAACCGATATAAGCTGGGAAGATATACTAAGCAACACAGACCCCAACTTATGCCTAGAACAGATTAACTTGGTGGCACTCGATGTATGCACAAGACTTATTCCTCTAAGAAAAAGGAGGAGTAGATGTAAAATAGTAAGACAGGCGCTCTCTTTACAGGCGATGGAAAAGAATAACAGAGCGGCTAAAAGAGGTCAATCTATCTGGAATGCGTAGGGAGACACTGGTCAGAGAAATAGCAAACATCGAACTTAAGCTAAAGGAATCTTACAGGAGTCAGGAATCGCGGGAAGAACTAAAAGCCATAAATGAAATCGAAAGAAACCCAAAGATTTCTTCTCCTATGCCAAATCAAAGTCGAGAACAACGTCCAGTATTGGGCCCTTACTTAAACAAGATGGGTCCTACACAGATGACAGAAAGGAAATGAGTGAGCTACTTAAGTCCCAATATGACTCGGTTTTTAGCAAGCCACTAACCAGACTGAGAGTCGAAGATCAAAATGAATTTTTTATGAGAGAGCCACAGAATTTGGTTAACACAAGCTTATCTGATGTTATCCTGATGCCAAATGACTTCGAACAGGCGATAAATGACATGCCCATGCACTCTGCCCCAGGGCCAGACTCATGGAACTCCGTGTTCATCAAGAACTGCAAGAAGCCCCTATCACGAGCCTTTACCATCCTATGGAGAGGGAGCATGGACATGGGGGTCGTCCCACAGTTACTAAAAACAACAGACATAGCCCCACTCCACAAAGGGGCAGTAAAGCAACAGCAAAGAACTACAGACCGATAGCACTAACATCCCATATCATAAAAATCTTTGAAAGAGTCCTAAGAAGCAAGATCACCACCCATCTAGAAACCCATCAGTTACACAACCCAGGGCAACATG